CATTTCACTGCTAGTTCATCCATTCCCTGTTCGCTTATTCTCACACCAGTCGTGCAGTGATACAAGCCGCCTTGAACAGTGCGCGGTTTGGCGATGACCGTGTTGCATTACCAGCGTTCTTGCACGGAGTACTTAATGCCTTCTCAAGCTTCCCACGACGCTCGTTGCTTCACAGGCCATTCCTCAACACTTAGACAGATCCGTACCGCATGGGCTCCTTACCTGGCGTCGTCTGCGAGTTTTGCAATAGATGGTTCCCCAACGCCCAAGTTTATGGCGGTCACAAGTCACGGCGGACCCCTTGCCAAGGCCTTTCCGCCCTGGCAAGGCCCTCGCAATCTGCACCATCCGCCGGACTACACACACTTCTATTCGTGCAAGAGATTCTGTCGGACGCTCCCGCTGCTCCCGCTTCACCTACCGCGTCTAATGCGTCCAACACCGACGCTGTGAATGGTCCTCCTTGCGTGCATGAAGCTGAAGATGACGCAACACCCTCGGCTGGGAACGTGGGGGCTTCTGAATCTGAGCATCAACCGCCACCCGGAACACCTTCAGATGACACGAGTGCGGATCCGGGGTGCCGCCCTGGAGTGAGTCACGCGGCCCCGCCGACAATCATCTCCGGGGAGAGCAATGCGACGCCCCTCAATCCGATTGCGTTGAAGCTGTTGCACTTCGTGAGGCGTGTAAATGGCGGAATGGGCATGGCGGAGATCGACATCAATGGCCTGCTTCAGCTCGTGGTGGAGCCCGGCCTTGCGCCTCTTGTGATCTCAGAGATCCGGAACTGCAAGGATCTGGAGAGGTTCGAGATGGAGCGCTTGGTAGGGCTCAATCGCGGATGGTCAGTGGCGACCTTCGAGATTGAGGGTCATCCTCCACAACTCCTCCTCTTCCAGAACTCCGCGCAGGTAAGCCGGCCGTGGATGCGTGGCTGCGAAATGCAGATTCCGCCTCCATTTGGTCCATGTGTGTGATCCGACCCTTCCCCGCTCCCGCCACTAAACCCCTGTTTGGTTCTCCCCCGCTCTTGATGCCGTACTCCAGGCTTTTGCTGAACTGTTTGGGCACACCAACAACGCGCCCGGCTTCAAGCTCAAGGCTCGTGTCGATGAGGACCATGGCACAGGCGAGCGTCGCTATACCACTCCAGAAACTGGAACGTGGTGGAACGATGCTCAGGTATGTAAATACCCCGCTGCCACCCAAAACCACACGCGTGCGCCGTCCTCCGCTGACGCGCTGATGTGTAGGGAGCATCTTCAGTGCGTCATGTTAGTGGGGAGTGTTATGTACCATGCTTACTCCGCCAGGCGACACATTACCTTGGTGGTGTTTGACCGTGGGGGTTTTCCGTCTTTGTCGTGCATGCAGGAACACTTCGGATGGTCCGAAGTCGTGGGGGGTATCATCCTATATTCGGATGTGACACACATGAGCAACAACGGCCGGAAGAAGGCGTGGCCGCTCATGATGACGCTTGCCAACATCTCCCAGGCCAAGCGATGGGGGAAAGCCGGGCACACGCTACTTGCTCTCCTTCCTATCCCCCCTTCGGCAATGTCTGCTGTTGAAAAGGTGATGCTCTTCCAGCGATGCGTCCTCACCGTGCTGCAGCCGCTTCTGGATGGCATGGACAGGTCCGTACTCGATTTCCGTCATGCTATGTCGTCACCGTGTGCACAGCATAGTGTGCGCAACGCTTTTGTATGTTGCATTACCCTTTGCCCCTCCTCGCTGATGCACAGAGTCGTCATGGCTGTTGACGTTACCACTCTACCCGTTCCTTGCAGCGGCTTCCGTCTCAGGGACCCTTTCGGTGATTGGCAAACAGTGCGGCCACTGCTGTACGCCCGGGTGTACGACTACCCCGAGAGCGGCAAGATTAGTTGCACACTCTCGCATGGATCGCGGATGCCGTGCAGCATCTGCTATGCTGCAAAGGTGAGCAAACATGCCATGTGAACGCCTTCATCGCCATCGTCATCTGACTGTCACATGACGGACCTCCTAATTTTTTCACCCTTACCAGTTCATCCCATCCCACCCCCCGTGCTACACCAGGAGCATTTAGTTGCTGTCAAGGCACGGAACACGCCGCGCACGCCTGAACAGCAGCAATGGATCGTGAATGAGGCGGCTGGATTGACATCAAGCCAGGCCGACCCATGCAAGACCTACTCGACCTACCCGGTTGAGGTGAGCGACCTGTCCACCGCGCTACTTTCCTGTCTAAGCACTCTGTGTTGAGAAGCCCTGGGGGAGATGTGCACTGCCATTGCACTGCCCCACATGTTGGCCGAGTCTCTCATATACCTTTCTCTACCATTCCCCACCACACCCCCTCCACCAGTGTGTGCTCTGGAAATGGGATGTCCCAGGGACCGTGTGGGGCAATCCCTACCTCGTTATCATGCCTGGCATCATGCACCAGGCGGACCTGGGCATGATGAGCCACATTGTGGCTGTCGTGCGCAAGATGAAGAAGCGGCGCGTCAAGCAGATGGACAGGTCAGTGCCTTGGGGGATTACTTTCGTGTCAAGAACACTCCAATACGCACTCTCCTCCTACTTACATGCCCATGCATTTGTGCCGGCCTTGAACTCGGATGTATGCGCAGGCGCCTGTCCCTCATTCGCGACCGCACGCGCCTGAACCACCTGCGCCTGCCAGAGAGCGCCTACTTCGAGAGTGGAGCATGTGTCGCGGCCTATGAGCACAGGGCCGTCATGCAGGTGAGCAAGCCATGGTGCATGTGATCCTCGTGAGCGACAGCATGCACCATGCTGAAACAGGATGCTGATTCCAGGCTACAACACCCCCCCTGCTGCATCCTAGTACCCATTCTCCCGCTCTCATCAATTCCGCCCCCTAACCTGTTTGTTAATCGACACACGCATGTCCCAACTACTCATGCCCACCTGCCGTCCTTAACCCTGAAATTTGCAGGTCATGGTGTTCGTATTTGCTGGCCTGCTTCGCCAGCCCCAGATGGATGCTGTTCGTGCCTATCTTGGCTGGTACCTCTTGTGTTGCCAGCCAACGGGGCACACCGAGCGGTCCCTGCGGGATCTCAAGAAGAAGACCTCCCGGTACTATTGACATGCATGTACAACCCTGGGGATTGCATGAATGCCTGGCCACGGCACCTAAGCTGTTGTAGTAACATATCTTCTGAGGTTGTTGCTGATAAACCATGATAGTATATCAAATAAAGTAGGCTGCAGTATGCTGTAGTAGACTCTGATGTCCTTGCATGCTGTCAATTCCCACTCCCATCAGGCTGGTTGAGCAGTTGCAGGCTGCTTTTCCAAAGCAGCCATCCTCTTGGTGCCTTGTGAAAACCCATCTCATGTCGCACTACATCGACTCCATTCGCCGTGCGGGACACGTCACGGAATTCAGCACCAACATGTTCGAGCACTTGCATGGCCCGTTGGTAAAGAGGATCTACCGGCGGTCCAACAAGCGCAATGTAGATGGGCAGATTATGAAGTTCCATGCTAGGCGCATCCCGGACGTTGTGCCGGTGGACGATCCCCTTGGCCGGGACACTGCCATGCGGCAGGTAAACCTGTCTAGTGATTGAATTGCAAAGATATGGATGCATAATGTAATAAACTCGCCACTGTTCGTTGGCAGGCCATTGAGACAGGCACAAGGACTCTTATCAAAGAGTCCTACTTTCTCCCTGTGGAGTTACCAGAAGAACCCACCTCCACCAACTGGTTTGCAAGGAAGTGGGCCATGCAACACCCAGTTGCACAAGCTGCCCTCAAGGATGCGCTAGTACGTTATGCTGGATGCGTCCCCAAGATCAGAGTAAGTACTTCGTGGATCATACAATCATTTTTTTCTTGCCCCAAACCCTAAACTGATTACACACTGCAATTGTTATGCAGGCCCATGCATCGTTGGCCATCCCAGCGGCAGATGATGCCAGCTTCTCAAGAGTTTCTCACTTCGTTCGAGCGACCCCTAACTATTTTGAGAGGACGTGGTACTCGGATGTTGCAGTGGAGGGTGTAAGGCATGGTCGGAGAGAGGAGTGGTATGCAAGGTTGCTCCTGTTGTTCCATACAAAAATACGTGGAGAGAGGGAGGAGCTAGCCTACGTTAGATATTGGAACGCAAGCGGAGAGGATGCTGCAACCGGATGCCTTCGCCTCAAGTGGACAACAGGGATGTACGCATACTCTGTGATTCCGATGGAAGCGCTGCTCCGTCACGTCCATGTGGTGAAGGCATTCCATCTGGACAGTACCTATCTCCTTAATAAGTATCATATGTGATGCATTTATATTGTAATAAAATGGCCTGTTAAGTTATCCAGCACTCACATTTTACATAAGTCAAAACAAACAAAACCAATTACAAATGGATCCCAAATTTGGCACGATCCAAATAAACAACAATGTACCGGAGTCGCGGATTCGATTTAGACTCGGACAAATAAACGCGGTCCGAATTCATTCCGTGATTGGTCGCGCTTTTGTTTCGGAACTTCGCCAACCAAAACACCTGAACTGTACCCCCCTCCGAACCCCCTTTAAAAACCAAGGTTTTTTGTGATGCAGTTCTCACTCCCTAATCGTTGATTGTGCCTGGCAGCGGACAAGCTCGTATCATCAGGGCTAGCGGCCCTTGGCTACGTCTATGTCAACATAGGTGAGACACATCTAACTCTTTTTCTAAAGCTGTACTATCTGCCTTTTTCATCCTGCACACTCTGCAAACTTCAAGTTGACAAGCTTGTGTCATCCGAGTCGACTCAAAAGTCACTCTGGAAACTTCAAGTTGACATGCTCGTGTCATCTGAGTCGACTCAAAAGAGGTGACTTTTGAGTCAACTCAAAAGTCACTCTCCATATCTCAAGTTGACAAGCTCATGTCATCTGGGCTGTTGCAGTGGTGCTTCCTGCTTCAGCCACAAGTCTTTCAACAATTTCAGCCAGTTCTGCCATTTTCTTTTACAGTTTGGTTTTCATGATACAAGATGACCAGACCAAATTTGTTTCTTGCCTCTTTTGACCAATCTTGTTTCTTGCTTTCCTTGCAGATGACTGCTGGCAAGCTGACTCCAGAGACTCAAAGGTGGGTGCTTCGATTAAAGGTGGTATATTGACTCTAATCAAGTTCCAACAGAGCATTAGCCATGGCTACATGTGTTTACCCTCCGTTTGGAAGCATGGTTATTTCTGAGATTTCTACTCTCCATTGGGAGAGTCATGCCAACTTCCATGACGTCTCAATCTCAACGCTACATTTGATGCCATGCTGTGATGTCTCAACGAACTGTTCGGCCTCATGCCATCTTCTGAGGCGTCTCAACGCTATCTTGGCAGCACGTCAACTTGCAATCTCTCTCTCTCTCTCTCTCTCTCTCTCTCTCTCTCTCTCTCTCTCTCTCTCTCTCTCTCTCTCTCTCTCTCTCTCTCTCTCTCTCTCTCTTTTCTCCGTTGCCTTTCCATGGTTCAGGGCCGCCTGGTGGCATCTCCGACCTCTGAGTTTTGAGTCGACTCAAAAGTCAGCTCTTGGCAAAACGTCAACTTGAAATCTCTCTCTCTCTCTCTTCTCCAATGTCTTTCCATGGTTCAGGGTCGCCTGGTGGCATCTCTAGTGTCGTTCCCGTCTGGCATCAAGGCGCTAGCAGTCTACGTGCACAGCAAGGGGCTCAAGCTGGGCCTCTACTCCGATTCTGGGTGAGTCAGTGTGTGCAGATGGCCCTACCAAGGCTTCGGGGGAAGGGGGGGGAGGTTGGGTGGGGCTGGTTGGGGATGGTTCTGTAGACTATGTGCACAGTAAGGGGCTCAACCTGGGTCTCTACTCCGATTCCGGGTGAGGGGGGGTTGTGATTGCGTGTTTCATGATGGTTGATGTGTGGGGGGCAGGCGGAGAGGGAATAGGGGCTGCAGACTATGGGCACAGCAAGGGGCTCAAGCTGGGGCTCTACTCCGATTCAGGGTGAGCTGGGGGAAAGGTGGCTGTGTACAGAGTTGAGCTGAGCACGGCTGGTCTGGTGACATGGTGGGGGAGGGGAGGAGGGAGAAAGAGAGTGGGGTGAGAGTGAGAGAGATTGAGTGAGTCCTATGTGTGCAAGCTTACTAAGGCTGATCTCAAATCCACATGCCTCTGCTCTATTCCTCTTCCTCCGACCGACCCCTCGCCTTCCATTGTCCTTGTCTTATCAGGAAGCGCACGTGTGCAGGCAAGCCATGGTCACTCGGGCATGAGGCGATAGACGCCCTCACCTTCGCTGAATGGGTGAGTCACGAGGTTGATTCAGGTTGCTTGGTCTGCTGCATTGAGTGTCGTTTTTTTTTCCTTTTCTTGGTTCAAGCGACGTGCCTTTGCAGGGCATGTAAGGCATTAACGCGGGTCCACCATTGCATATTTCAATTTAACAGTGCATGACATGTCCTATGACAGAATCCCTGCTGCATCTTGTAGCAGCGATCACTTTTGAGAATCACTTTTGAGAATTCTCAAAAGTGATTCCCTGCTGCATCATGTAGCAGCGATCTGACCAGTGCATGCTCTGTGGGAGGGTGATATGTTCGAGCGTGTGTTTTTTGAGATTTCTCAAAAAATCCCTGCTGCATCATGTAGCAGCGATCTGACCAGTGCGTGCTCTGCTGCCACCTGCATGATGACTAATGCCTGCCTTCTCCTGTCTGCCGGCCATTCTGTGGGCTTTGTTCTTATACCTGATTTTGTTCCAATGTGACGCCAGGGAGTGGACTATGTCAAATACGACACCTGCTACGACGATGGAACTCCCACCAAGAGAGGGTAAGCCCTGTCTGACTCGCTCCTGTCTGACTCGCTCCTGTCTGACTCGCTCCTGTCTGACTCGCTCTTGTTGACCCGAGACGACAAACTCACCTTGTACTTTCTTCCCCCGTCTATCTGAAGGTCCCCTCTGTCTGCTTGTACTTGCTTGGTCATGCATTTTCTTGTGCTCTTACACTGTCCTTGCCTTGTTCTTTTCTCTCCATATTTCTCCCCTGCCTTCCTCCTATCCATACTTCGTTGTTGGATGCCCATCATCAATCCTCAGACTCACAGCCATGCGCAATGCATTGGAGGCCACTGGGAGAGACATCTCAGTCTCCATGTGTGAAGGGTGAGTGGCAAATATGGGTGAATGATGAGTGAGCGCCCCATGCCTGGCAATCACCTCTCTCAGCCACACGGCCATGCGCAATGCGTTGGAGGCCACTGGAAGAGACATCTCAATCTCCATCTATGTGTGAAGGGTGAGTTGGGATGGGAGGATCCCTTTTTTTGAGGCACCTCAAAACAAGAGAGGCATCTTGGTCTCCATGTGTGAAGGGTGAGATGGGAGGATCTCTTATGAGAGGACGGCATGTGCTGCAACCTCCTTATGCCACATGTGCTACTACCTCCTTCCACCACGTGAACTGCGAAGTCACTCTGCCACGTGTGCTGCTACCTCCGTTTGCCATGTGTACTGCTAACTCATTGTGCCACGTGTGCTGCTGATTGCAGGGGACAGGACACCTCTGCACTGTGGGCGTATGGCGTGGCAGATCCGTGGCGCACAACCCTTGCCATTGATGACACGTGGAGGAGGTGAGGGACACGTGGCTGAAGGGAGGAGTGACACGCGGCTGGTGCAATTTGAGACGTCTCAAAACACTCCTTTTTTCAGGAGTGACACGCGGCTGGTGCAATTTGAGACGTCTCAAAACACTCCTTTTTTCAGGAGTGACACGCGGCTGGTGCAATTTGAGACGTCTCAAAACACTCCTTTTTTCAGGAGTGACACGCGGCTGGTGCAATTTGAGACGTCTCAAAACACTCTTTTTTTCAGGAGTGACACGCGGCTGGTGCAATTTGAGACGTCTCAAGTGGCATGGGAGGGAGATGGAGAGGATTGAGCTGGATGGAGAGGATTGAGCTAGATGGAGAGGATTGAGCTAGATGGAGCATGGAGGGAGGGAGAGATGGAAGGACAATGCTCATGATATATTCTCAAGCTCAATGATTCCATCTTTATTCCCTGCCTGCATGCATGTATCGTGCCTCCTTGCCTGCACACGTGTATGCATACATATGGCACATGTAGTGTGACTTGGGTTTCAGACGCCAACAACAAGTGGGCCAAATATGCCGACCCTCGCAGCTGGAATGGTGCGTGCAGCCACACAGACAGGAGTTCACTTTTTCCGGTGGCGTTCAAGTGTTGCTGCGAGCGTCGCCACGCGTTCAATTGTTCTCGCAAGTGTCGCCACGCGTTCAATTGTTGTCGCAAGTGTCGCCACGCGTTCAATTGTTGTCGCAAGTGTCGCCACGCGTTCAATTGTTGTCGTAAGTGTCGCCACGCGTTCAATTGTTGTCGCAAGTGTCGCCACGCGTTCAATTGTTGTCGTAAGTGTCGCCACGCGTTCAATTGTTGTCGCAAGTGTCGCCACGCGTTCAATTGTTGTCGCAAGTGTCGCCACGCGTTCAATTGTTGTCGCAAGTGTCACCACGCGTTCAATTGTTGTCGCAAGTGTCGCCACGCGTTCAATTGTTGTCGCAAGTGTCGCCACGCGTTCAATTGTTGTCGCAAGTGTCGCCACGCGTTCAAGGCGTGTCACAAGGTGTTCAGGTGTTGTAAACTCTTTCGCAATCCCCCACTCCCCTATTCTCTTCCCCTACCTCCACTATTGTCTCCCTCCTATATCAGACTTGGACATTCTGCAAATGGAGAAGTTCGGCATCGGACACTCGACTTACCATGTGCACTTCAATCTCCTCCCCACTCAGCTATCCTTCCTCCTACCCACATTCTTCACCTCGCCACCCCCGTGCCTCCTCCTGTATCAGACTTGGACATTCTGCAGGTGGTGAAGCTCGGCATGGGAGAGTCGGTGTACCATGTGCACTTCAATCGCTGGGCCATCATGAAGGTGAGGGTGAGGCGGGGCCATCATGAAGGTGGGGACACCCTCCTGCTTGCTAACATGCATGCATGCGCGTATGCATGTGCTCCATGTAGCATGTGGCAAAGGGTGGCATAGGAGAGTCGGCGTACCATGTGCACTTCAATCGCTGGGCCATCATGAAGGTGACGACACACTCCTGCATGCATGCATACATACATGCACACATGCATGCATGCAGTTCTGCATGTGCGCATACAAAATGCTCCATGCATGCACAGATGCTTTCATGGATGCACATGCACGCCTGTACGCACACACAGCTTCTCGTACCAACCTCTTCTGCGCTGCACTCAACTCAACAGCACCCACCTTTTCACCTCCCACCAAAGGTGACTTTTGAGTCGACTCAAAATTCTTCTCGTACCAACCTCTTGTGCGCTGCACTCAATTCAACAGCACCCACCTTTTCACCTCCCACAGGCGCCACTCCTGCCGGCCTGCGCACTCTCTGCTACATCGGAACCAGCCATGAGCATACTCAGCACAGACGAGGCTATTGCCCTCAACCAAGGTGCGCACATGCAAGGTGCGATGTACTCGACTCATGCATGTAGGTCCTCGATTCAAAGGTATCTCTGCTGCATCGGAACCATCCATGAGCATCCTGAGCACTGATGAGGCCATTGCCCTCAACCAAGGTACGCTACCCAAGCAGGCTCGATGCTATTGCTAGCAGTGATGGTGCATTCTCTTTGCTACATCGCAACCTGCCATGAGCATCCTCAGCACCGATGAGGCCATTGCCCTTAACCAAGGTATGCACATGCAAGGTGCGTGCGAGGAACTCGACTCATGCATGTAGGTCCTTGATCGAAGCCAGCCATGACCATTCTCAGCACCGACGAGGCCATCACCCTCAACCAAGGTATGCATGCAAGCAGGCTCGGTGTTAAGGCAAGCACTGTGTGTGAGCTCATGCAGATGTTTCATTGCATTCCACCTGCTTGGCTTATGCTGACACGTGCCATACTGTGATTGGTGCAGATTCATTGGGAGTGCAGGCTCAGAAGGTGCAACTATCCAAGGGATCTCCGGTGAAAGTGAGAACATTAAACCTTCTCTTGCTCTCTGTGCCTTGCATGAGTGTGACCATAGTGAGGTTTTTGCGAGCTGACTTGATTCTAAGTGCATGGCTTACGATGATTCGCTCCATATGCATTGGAATCACAATGCTCATTTTCTGCCTTTGATCCGCGCTACCTGTTCACGAACCTGCAGGTCTGGATGGGATCTCTATTGGAGGGTCGGAAAGTGGTGGCACTGGTGAACCGTGGCAAGAGGAGCCACAATGTGACCGTAACTTGGGAAGCGATCGGGCTAAACCCAGAGCAGCTGATGCATGCATGAGACCTGTGGAGGGTACGTGTGTTCGCACGCACCATGTCTCTATACTTCCCCACCTCCCCCTCTCACCTATCCTTTCGGGCTGAATCCGGAGCAGCTGATGCATGCACGAGACCTGTGGAAGGTATGTGTATTCGTCTTGCCTCACAAACTTTCCTGGGTTCTTATTCTCATCCTGAAGATGTAGTATGCATGCAGGCACGTGCACACACCACATGCATGCACATGCTTCAATATATGCACACATGTAGCACAATATATGTTCTCATATTTATGCTCCTCGTGGCGTGAAACCTTTGGTGCAGGAACCCACCTTGAACTCGGTCAAGTCTAAAGAGCTGACTGCCCATGTTGCAAGCCATGGTGTGCGATTATTTGTTCTCTGGCCTGTAACCGATGCCAATCTCTATTGAATTAAATGTTTGGGGGCAACAAAGGCTGCTCTAGCAACATGTTGAACATCTAAAAGATATTGATCTTCTCTTGTTGATGCTTATGGTGGATACTACATTATATGTCTTGGAAAGGTTTTTTCTTGCCTTGTTAAAGCCCAAGTATCACATCGTATTTTTCAAATTCAAGTTTCTTGAAGTTGATTTCGTGAATAACCATGTTACCAGCTGGTTCAGAACAATCCGTCGGGTTCAAGCAGCAGAGGTGATCCGTGATTGGCCAGCGATAAACTAGAACAACCTGCAGGAAAAAGGCCTCAGAGGAAAGCACTGTTCACCTTGAGTAAACTTGAAAACCATCGGGAACGCTTGGACACGCATATTATGAGGCACGCTAGTAGTAGTTCTCCCGTCACAAATGGGCAATCTCCTTCCTAAGCGCTCTGTTCAAAGACACGAATCAGGGACCTTTGGCGACTTTAGTTGCAACCGAGCCGCGGCCACTTTGTTCCTCTACCGCAACCGCCACGTTCTCTCAATGTGTCGTTGCAGCGAGTAGTAGTCTCAGGCGTAGAAAGAAGCACACACTCACGCGTCGCGAAAGTATCCCCAGCCTTCTGCCTCCGCCGTCAATTCTCTCAGCCAAAATAGACACCCCGACTTATTTTTCAGTCGTAGCTTATCGGTATGACAGCAACGCGACGGTGTATCGTGTTTCCTCACTCGGTCGCCCTGGCATCGCCCTTCCTCAAACATCACATTTGGCCCTATCGCCTTCTGCGTACCCTACGCGCACGCCCACGCTTCCCCCCACCCTTTCCCTCACCGTCGCTCACGCTTCCCCTTTACCGTCGCTCACGCTTCCCCTTACCGCCGCATGCGCTGCCTCCTGCTCCGTGGGTGCACCCACGCTTCCCCACACCATCGCGCACGCCTTCCCCCACATTCACACACGCTCATCGCCCACGCTTCTTCTGACCGTCACCCCCGCTTCAGCCCACCGTCACCGACGCTTCCTCTTACCGTCGCCCACGCTTCCTCTTACCGGCCCACGCTCCCTCTTACCGTCGCCCACGCTTCCTCCCACCGTCGCCCACGCTTCCTCCCCGTCGCCCACGCTTCCCCCCACCGTCGCCAACGCTTTTCCCCACCGTCGCCAACGCTTTTCCCCACCGTCGCCAACGCTTAACCCCACCGTCGCCCACGCTTCCCCCCACCGTCACCCACGCTTCCCCCCACCGTCGCCCACGCTTCCCCCCACCGTCGCCCACGCTTCCCCTGCCATCGCCCTCCCTGTCGCCCAGGAATCCCCCCTCCCGCCGGCCTCCCTCCCCTCCCGCGAAAAATCCCCCCGTCCTCTCATTACCCCGGCCTCTCCTCCCCCTGTCCCCTGTCCTCTCGTCCCCCTCGTCGTCTCGTCCCCCCGTCCTCTCATCCCCTCGTCCTCTCATCCCCTCGTCCTCTCATCCCCTCGTCCTCTCATCCCCTCGTCCTCTCATCCCCTCGTCCTCTCATCCCCTCGTCCTCTCATCCCCTCGTCCTCTCATCCCCTCGTCCTCTCATCCCCTCGTCCTCTCATCCCCTCGTCCTCTCATCCCCCCATCACGCTCGTCCCCTCGCAAACCCCGTCTCCCTATCTCCCTGTCCCCCTCGTTCTTTCCCCGTATCCCCAGCCCTGCTTCCCCCAATCCCCTTCCTTGCTTCCCCCCATCCCCTTCCCTGCTTCCCTCCATCCCTCTCCCTGCTTCCCCCCATCCCCCTCCCTGCTTCTCCCCATCCCCTTCTGTGCTTCCCCCCATCCCCTTCCCTGCTTCCCCCCATCCCCCTCCCTGCTTCACCCCATCCCCCTCCCTGCTTCTCCCCATCCCCTTCCCTGCTTCCCCCCATCCCCCTCCCTGCTTCCCTCCATCCCCCTCCCTGCTTCACCCCATCCCCTTCCCTGCTTCCCCCCATCCCCCTCCCTCCTTCCCCCCACCCTCTGCCCTGTTCCCAACTGCCCTCCCCATCCCTGCCTTTCCCTCCCTGCCCTGCCTTTCCCTTCCCCATCCCTTCTCAACCCTTCCCTTCCTTTTCATGCCCTCCCCTTCTCCCCCACTCCTCGCCTTCCGCGCTCTAGTTTCCATGCATGTGCACCCATCACTGTCTCACCATACATGCTTTCATCATGTGCCCTTGTCGTTGCCGTTGTTACCTTGACGCCCACACCACCTCCCCCATATGCCTTCACACAATTCTTTCTGCCTACTCCACTCCCCTATTTTTCAGTGGTGAAGCAGAGGAGCAACAGTTGCTAGCTGAGGCACAGCTAGTCGATGCTTTGCACCATACCACGGCCTATTTCTTGTGTTTTCTATGCAAGCATGATACTGTATCACTGTTGGAGATATGCAATTCAAAGGCACACTTTGTACTAGTAATTGCCTTTGCAGTGCAAGATATTCTACCAATATGCATGGACACTATGAGTGTCAGAAGGGAATATATAGGCATGTTCCTAATACTTCCTTTTGATTGTAGGCAAAGATCAAGGGGAGCAATACGACTGACCTTTCTCAAGGCCTTGAAAAAAACATGAGGGGAACTCTCATTCTACGAGCATGGCATGGGATGGGATGATGGGCTGAGGCAAGTTGAAGTACCAGAAAAATCTTCAGTGTAGCAACTGCCACAGCCAGGGAGGGGGAGAATACGAGGGATTGGGAGGGGGGACAAGAAAGAAAGTCAAACAGATAGAGATGAGAAGAGGGGAGATAGGGGGGACAGGGAGGAGGGGGAAGAGGGAAGCAAGGGGGAAGAGAAAGGGGGAAATATGACGACATGAGAGGGAAAGGGGATATGAAGAGGGGGGGTGAGGGAAAGGAGGAGATAGGAAGAGGGTGAGAGGGAAAGAAGACAATACCAAAGGAAGGAGGGTGGGGAAGAGGGAAGATAGGGAAGAAGGGGAGAGGGAAGCGAGGGAAAGGGGAAGCAGGGCGGGGAGATAGGAAGATAAAACGAGGGGAAGAAGAGGGGGAAACGAGGGGAAGCAGGGGGGAAAACGAGGGGAAATAGAGGGGGAATTGAGGAGAAGCAGGGGGGAAGATGAGGGGAAAGAGTGGGGAAAATGAGGGGAAGCAGAGGGGAAAACGAGAGCAAGCAGGGGAGTAAATGAGGGGAAGCAGGGGGGAAAACGAGAGCAAGCAGGGGAGTAAATGAGGGGAAGCAGGGTGGAAAACGAGAGCAAGCAGGGGAGTAAATGAGGGGAAGCAGGGGGGAAAACGAGAGCAATCAGGGGAGTAAATGAGGGGAAGCAGGGGGGAAAACGAGAACGGAGGCGCGGCGATGCGAACGGAGGCGCGGCGAGGCGAGCGGGGGCGCGGCGAGGCGAGCGGAGGCGCGGCATGGCGAGCGCAGGGTAATAAGGTACTCCCCACCCTCCTCCCCACCCTCCTCCCCAACCTCTCTTCCTCCCCTCCCTTCTGCTTCTCCCCCAAGCGTCCTCCCTACCTCCCTTCCTCCCATCATCACTTCCTCCCTTCCTTCATTCCTGCATTCCTCACTTCCTCCCTTCCTCCGTTCCTCCCTTCCTCATTTGCCAGTTGTCATTCTTCTGCATGCTTGCTTCCCTTATACTTCAGCCATGTCACATCTGACTTCTTGATTTGTGTTTGGACAGGTCTGCTCTGCATCTGGTTGTGCATGTGCTGGCTGTCTGATAGTAACACACGTATAGCCATGCCATATATTGGAATTTTTTTTTAATATAGGATTATGAGCCTCAGAGCAGTCATACACATGATCAATACCAAGGAGTTCAACAATTAATATATTACCGTATCTGTAAAGTAAGGGGAATCACCAGACTCGAGAAGGGAACAAAGCTAGGGGGTGTATGTGTAATGTTGCTTTCCGGTTTTGTCTGCTACACTGCAAGCAATAAACCAGGCCGTGCTAAGCCACATCTGGTGCTGAGCACCTGTAACTGCATTGGGGGGTATGGGGGTGAGTGAAGGGGGAAAGACAGTAAACGGAATGAGCAGAGGGGAAGAGAAGAAGCAGCGGGGGACAGATTGAACAGAGGGGAAGAGAGGAAGCAGGGGGGAACAGAGTGAGCAGAAGTAAAGAGAGTGAGCAAGGGGGAAGAGAGTGAGCAGAAAAGAAGGGGAGGGAGCAAGGGTGAAACAGAGGGAGCAGGGGTGAGCAGGGAAGGCGATAGGGGGAAGCAGGGAAGGAGATAGGGGGAAGCAGGGAAGGGGATGGGGGGGAGCAGGGAAGGGGATGGGGGTGAGCAGGGAAGCGGATGGGGGGATGCTGGGAGGGGGACGGGGGAAGGAGGGAAGGGGATGGGGGGAAGCAGGGAAGGGGAAGGGGGAAAGCAGGGAAGGGGATGGGGGGGGAGCAGGGAAGGGGTTGGGGGGAAGCAGGGAAGGGGATGGGGGGAGCAAGTCAGAGGATGGGGGGAAGCAACGCAGGGGATACGAGGAAACAGGGAAGAAGGGAAGGGTGTATGTGCGGGTTGGAAAGGGGGCGTGACAAGTGTGCGAGATGGGAAGGGAGAAGGGAGGGATGGCGAGGGCAACGAGGAGTGGAAGGGAGGGCGACGGGGAAAACGAGGGCGACGGGGGGAGAGAGAGACGGGGATTGCGAGGGGTCGAGCACGAGACGAAGGGGGGCAACGGGCGGAAGGGAGGGAAAGAGAGCGTGAAGGGGGAAAGAGAGTGAGAAGGGGGGAAAGAGAGTGAGCAAGGGGAAAGAGAGTGAGCAGGGGAGGAAGAGAGTGAGCAGGGGAGGAAGAGAGTGAGCAGGGGGGGAGAGAGTGAGTATAGGCGTGAGTCGGGAAAACAGGGGCGAGCAGAGGGGGTAAGAGAGCGTGAAGGGGGAAAATGGGTGAGAAATGGGGAAAGTGGGGTTAGAACAAGGGGAGTGAGCAGAGGGAAAGAGAATGAGGAGGGGGGAAGCGAGTGAGCAGGGGGAAAGAGATTGAGGAGGGGGGAAGCGAGTGAGCAGGGGGGAAGAGAGTGAGCAGGGGGGAAGAGAGTGAGCAGGGGGAAAGAGAGTGAGCAGGGGGAAAGAGAGTGAGCAGGGGGGAAGAGAGTGAGCAGGGGGAAAGAGATTGAGCAGGAGAGAGTGAAAGGCAATGGGAGGGGAAGTGAAGGTGACGGGTGGGGAAGCGAGTGTGACGGGGGGAAAGCGAGTGCGGCAGGCGTGGAAGGCGACGGGAGGGGGAATCGAAGGCATCGGGGGGGAGAAGTGAAGGCGACGGGAGGGGGAAGTGAGGGCGGCGGGAGGGGGAAATGAAGGCGACAAGAGGGGGAAATGAAGGCGACGGGACGGGAAGTGAAGGCGACGGGAGGGGGAAGTGAAGGCGACGGGAGGGGGAAATGAAGGCAACGGAAAAGGGGGGGGAGTGAAAGCGACGGGGGAGAAGTGAAGGCGACGGGCGGAGCGAAGGCGACGGGCACGCGACGAGTTGCGGAAGCGATGGCGACGACGCGGGCGAAAGAGAGCGGAAGCGTGGGGAAGGAAAGCGAGGGCGGGGGGAGGGTCACGTTTGGGCGAACGGTTGCGATTCGATCTTCGCCACGAGTTTACGCTACGGAGTAGTTGCACAATAACCTGCATTTCGACACAATAATCTTCACCCAGCGCAAACTAGCTTTGCGCGTCATCATTGCAAATCCGCGCCACCCAAATCGTATGGCGCATCTACTCCCTTTTGAGTGAACGCCGACGCCCTGCCCTGTCTACAGGTATGGTCTATGCCTAATACTCTGCGTGCTATCTCGAACTGTGCACAGTTTGATAAGCTCGCGGTTTTCTGGTTGTGGGAAGGGCACCAACCATCATGGGAAGCGAGAAACTTTTGTCGCAAATTGGTTTCGCGAGTGAAAACCTCTCGCAACCCAACCGATCCTCTCCGTGCCTACCTCCCGAGCCTAGTTTTTAGCGTTGACTTCCGTTGATTAATTCAGGTCTTGGGCTTTAAATAGCTACCTTCAAGCCCAAGGGGCCTGAAAATTGACACTACCCATCCACACCCTAGCCGCATGTGCGGAAATGTGATAAGATATCAGACTTAGTAGTCACAACGAATGACATGTACAAGTCGTTTTTCCCAGCTTCTCATACCGACGCTTGTTATTCCGGAAAGTCCGCCGAGCGGTTAGGAGGTGCGGTGATCGGTGGTGTGGGAGGATTGCCTCCATACAAAATTATGGGTTTCGGGGCTGAAAGTCCAGCCACTGCGCCGCTTTGTAACGCTTTGAACGCTTAGAACACCGTGACAAAACCACAGGAAGACCGAGTCACCGCAGCTCTGCATTCCCCAGCACGCACACGCAGGCCTGCAGGCCATTCTCCTTCAGCACGCTGTTCGAGATTCAAAACTCGCCATCCTGAGCTCTTCCTTGCTCAGGTCAGGTCAAGTCGTTCAGGGAGCTCGAGTAATCTGGCTGGAAACTTGCCGTCCTTTCTTTCCTCACTCGTCTTCCTCGCTTGCACCAAGCTACAGTGCTTCCCTTCCCACGCTCTTTCCCACGTCCCGTCCTCCCACGGCTCCGTCCATTTGGGCAACTGTAGAATGAAATTCCTCCCATACGATCACGTGTGCATGATGGAGGCAATGCACAGTTCCCATGACTTACCGGCCAACGGATTCTCAATCAGTTACAGAAACAAGAAACTATCCACCTTGGAGGTGTGGATGTTGTCCAATGTTGTCAATGGTTGTCGTTCAGTCAAGGACTGGCGATGACCTGACATGACATGACACACACCTCCTGGTCGGTCCTTGACTGTCTGACTGACCATTGTCAGACAATGGACATTTGACGTCAATCCGACGACCATTGACAGAAAATTTTATCGGAAGCTCGAATGTTTTGATCCTTTCATCATGTAGGATCATCGTGTAACCTTTCGAGCTTATCACGATCATTAACTCTAGAGCTGTGAATCTATGCGGGACTGCAGCCTCTACCATTCATTGGCGACGACGATGCATCCGCCTTTTAAGCCGCCTCGATATTAGTCATCGCTCGTAAGCGCGACTGCATTGTCCTTACTACACCGCCGCTTAGCGAACGACGATGCAGCCGCCGCTGTCGGCTTTGAGACGGGTTGAGACGGTGGGGGGAAAAGAGTGGACGTGCGCTAAACAGCGAATGCTGGGTGCAAAGCAGGGTTCGGTTGCGGAGCAGCAACGTGGTAGTACGTTGGGTGTGACGCTGCAGCGTAGTGCGGGTGCACGGAGACAGCATCATAATATGACCGTTGAGACGTCTCAAACGACTCTTAGAAAGAGGCAATGGAGAGAGCCTGTGGCTTCTGAGACGTCTCGAAAGACGAGGCGACAGAGGAGGTGGAGACAGCATGCGGCTCCTTACAGCCTCGTGCTCGCCCTAGCCTTTGTGCGTCCGCTGATTCCTCACACAGGTGGCTTTTATTTCAGCTGCGAACCAAGTTCAGGTCCATTGCAAGTCCATGAAAGTCACTTTGCATTTGCCTCGCTCTCTTGCTCGCCTTCTTTGGTCCAACCCTCGAACGCATTTGCATCGTTCGCGTTCTTTGAAAGCCTTTCCGGTCCCAAACCCTTCAAAATAAGTTTCTGGTGGGGCGGTTCAGAGGTATCCAAAGTTAGAAATCATCGCATCTGCAGCTCGTATGCTCGAGCTCGCTTTGAGCGAGTCCTGTTCCATACATAGCTTCGGCTTTTTATCTAAACAATTCTAAACTTTGAAGTGCGGGCTTCGCCAGTCACGACCATGAAGAGCCTCGGCCAGGTATGAAACGTCTCAGCCAGAGTACGATGAAACGTCTCAGCCAAAGTACGATGAAACGTCTCAGACAGAGTACGATGAAACGGCTCAGACAGAGCATGATGAAACGTCTCAGACGGAGTATGATGAGACGTCTCAGACGGAGTATGATGAAACGGCTCAGACAGAGTACGATGAAACGTCTCAGACGGAGTATGATGAAACGGCTCAGACAGAGTACGATGAAACGTCTCAGACGGAGTATGATGAAACGGCTCAGACAGAGTCTGATGAAACGGCTCAGACTCTGAGAATCGGGGTCGTTGAGTCCTGTTCCGATTGCGACGCGTAACAACACGAAACACACTTAGCCAATTGCTCTGAGTTGACTTAACTGCTAGGAACTGGCTTAAAATGCTCCAGGCTGACTTCACTCCCTGGGGCTGACGCGAAATCAACCAAGGGCTTCGGAGATCCGTGCTTCAAGATGCTTTGGGTTGACTTGAGATTCTCCTGGTTGGATTTAATCCCTGGAAGTCTTGTTCTGCGGATCATTGAACTTCTCTTGAGGCTCCTCAAAAGTCCAAACTGTTGAGGCACTTTAAAAAGTAAGACTCAAATGCTCCGAGGCGACTTTCAAGTCGTCTCAGAAGTCACCTTTTGAGTCGACCCAAAAAGTGAGACTCAAATGCTCCGTGGAAGTCTTGTTCTGCGGATCAGAGAACTGTGCTTCACTTCATGGTACGAGTCGTTTTAGAAAGAGGTAAATCACCTTCCTCATTCTTCAGATCACTCAGTCGTCCTCTCTCACTTGTCCTTTGTCTCACCCATTCATGTCCCCTCTCACCCATTCATGTCCACTCTCACCCATCCATGTCCCCTCTCACCCATTCATGTCCCCTCTCACCCATTCTTGCTCCCTCTCACCCACTCATCTGTTAAACCACCACCAACCGCTCCTTTCTACTCCATCCCCTCTTCCCCTGATTCTGCCCGTCCCACATTCTTCCCTTGTCACCTCCTCCTCCTCTTCTCCACTCTTCCCCTTCTCCCCTTGTCCCCTTCCCACCTTCCTCCTTCTCCCCTTCCCCCTTCCCCCCATTCCACCTTCCCCCTCCCTTTCTGCCTTCCCCTCCCCTTCCGTCTTCCCGCTGCCACCAGCCCCCATCGTCCACCTCCCCCATCGCGCCCTTCCTCAACGTCTCCTTCTCAGACGCCCTCTGTGCCCCACCAGCTATGCCTCCCTGCACCCTTATTAACCCCTCCGTTTCCCCCTCCCCGGACCCCGTCCCTCTCCACCTTCTCCCTTCCGCTTCCGCCCCCCCTGCATACCTCCGCCTCCCCCCTCGCGCCCTTTCTCGACGTCACCTTCTCAGATGCTCTCTGTGGCACGTGGGCGACTGACTACGCCGCTCTGCACCCTTTTCCCCCCCTTTTCCCTCCCTTTTCCCCCTCCCCGCCCCATTCCCCCTTCCCCATTCTCCCAGCTTCCGCCCCCCCTGTATACCTCCGCCTCCCCCCTCGCGCCCTTTCTCGACGTCACCTTCTCAGACGCTCTCTGTGGCACCTGGGCGATGGACTACGCCGCCCCGTGACCTTCTCTCACCCTCCCTTCCCCCCAACCCCTCCCTTTTCCCCCGCCCCTTCCCCCAACCACCAGCTTCCGCCCCCCCTGGGGACCTCCGCTTCCCCCCTCGCGCCCTTCCTAGATGTCACCTTCTCAGACGCCCTCTGTGGCACCTGGGCGACAGACTACGCCGCCCTGCACGCGCGCATCCGCGAAACCGCCCGCTCTCACGCCCCCACCCTCGCCCAAACCGCTGCCGCCGCCGCCAACGCTGCCGCCGCTGCTGCTACCGGTGGTGCTGCAGCAACAGCACTACCACCACCACCACCGCCACCGCCATCACCACCACCACTATCACCAGCACCCCCGTCCCTCCCTCCTCCATCCCCTCCTCCCCCAGCGTCATACCCCCAGCCCCGTCTAGACCCATCCATTCGTTTCCTAACCTTCGAATGGTTAGACGAGCCTGGAGGCTTGGGGGATTATATCACTGGGCTAGCCACGGCTTTTGCCTGCGCGCTCCTCACGCGCCGAGCCTTCATCGTCCGGCACCCGTACCTCCCGCTCGCGTTCGCGCCGAACCTCGTGGATTGGTCGTTCGGGCCGGACGTGCCTTATGAGCCGGCTCGGAAGCTGACGGTTGATGAAGTATTGGCTAGAGTGGGAGAGAAGGGAGGGGGAGGAGAAGGTGGAGAAGGAGGAAGGGGAGGAGGGGGGGGAGGAGGAGGAGGAGAGAAGGGAGAGTTGGTGCAGGAGGGGGAGGTGGTGATAGTGAATCTGAGGAACCGGTTTGTGGAACCAGAGGAATTCTTTGCGGTGCTGGATGGTGCGATGAATATTCGAGTGTCGTGGAACAGGGGTCTGCTGACGTACCTGCTCGCACAGGTGAGGGGGAGTGGTGTGTCGCCCAGGTGAGTGAGGGGGAGTGGTGTGTCGTACAGTTGAGGGGAAGTGGTGTGTCGTACAGTTGAGGGGGAGTGGTGTGTCGTACAATTGAGGGGGAGTGATGCTGGGCAAGTGAGGTGTTTCTTGAAAGGACTAAAAAAATAAGGCGATGAACATCTGTCTGCCGTGGAACAGAGGCCTGCTCACGTACCTGCTCGCCCAGGTGAGGGGAGGCGGTGGGTCGCACAGGTGTGGGGGATTGGTGGGTCGCCCAGGTGAGGGGGATTGGTGGGTCGCCCAGGTGTGGGGGATTGGTGGGTCGCCCAGGTGAGGGGGATTGGTGGGTCGCCCAGGTGTGGGGGATTGGTGGGTCGCCCAGGTGAGGGGGAGTGGTGGGTCGCCCAGGTGAGGGGGAGTGGTGCGTCGCCCAGGTGAGGGGGAGTGGTGCGTCGCCCAGGTGAGGGGGAGTGGTGCGTCGCCCAGGTGAGGGGGAGTGGTGCGTCGCCCAGGTGAGGGGGAGTGGTGCGTCGCCCAGGTGAGGGGGAGTGGTGCGTCGCCCAGGTGAGGGGGAGTGGTGCGTCGCCCAGGTGAGGGGGAGTGGTGCGTCGCCCAGGTGAGGGGGAGTGGTGCGTCGCCCAGGTGAGGGGGAGTGGTGCGTCGCCCAGGTGAGGGGGAGTGGTGCGTCGCCCAGGTGAGGGGGAGTGGTGCGTCGCCCAGGTGAGGGGGAGTGGTGCGTCGCCCAGGTGAGGGGGAGTGGTGCGTCGCCCAGGTGAGGGGGAGTGGTGCGTCGCCCAGGTGAGGGGGAGTGGTGCGTCGCCCAGGTGAGGGGGAGTGGTGCGTCGCCCAGGTGAGGGGGAGTGGTGCGTCGCCCAGGTGAGGGGGAGTGGTGCGTCGCCCAGGTGAGGGGGAGTGGTGCGTCGCCCAGGTGAGGGGGAGTGGTGCGTCGCCCAGGTGAGGGGGAGTGGTGCGTCGCCCAGGTGAGGGGGAGTGGTGCGTCGCCCAGGTGAGGGGGAGTGGTGCGTCGCCCAGGTGAGGGGGAGTGGTGCGTCGCCCAGGTGAGGGGGAGTGGTGCGTCGCCCAGGTGAGGGGGAGTGGTGCGTCGCCCAGGTGAGGGGGAGTGGTGCGTCGCCCAGGTGAGGGGGAGTGGTGCGTCGCCCAGGTGAGGGGGAGTGGTGCGTCGCCCAGGTGAGGGGGAGTGGTGCGTCGCCCAGGTGAGGGGGAGTGGTGCGTCGCCCAGGTGAGGGGGAGTGGTGCGTCGCCCAGGTGAGGGGGAGTGGTGCGTCGCCCAGGTGAGGGGGAGTGGTGCGTCGCCCAGGTGAGGGGGAGTGGTGCGTCGCCCAGGTGAGGGGGAGTGGTGCGTCGCCCAGGTGAGGGGGAGTGGTGCGTCGCCCAGGTGAGGGGGAGTGGTGCGTCGCCCAGGTGAGGGGGAGTGGTGCGTCGCCCAGGTGAGGGGGAGTGGTGCGTCGCCCAGGTGAGGGGGAGTGGTGCGTCGCCCAGGTGAGGGGGAGTGGTGCGTCGCCCAGGTGAGGGGGAGTGGTGCGTCGCCCAGGTGAGGGGGAGTGGTGCGTCGCCCAGGCGGTGGGGAAGATATGGACGGCCAGACTTTTGAGGCGCCTCGAAAGTCCCTTAAATGCATCACATGCCGGTTCCCTCATATTTTTAATGTGCTCTCCAACCAACCCACCTCACCTCCTCACCTCCTCCTCTCCTCACCTCCTCACCTCCTCATCTCCTCACCTCCTCACCTCCTCATCTCCTCACCTCCTCACCTCCTGTGTGCTTATGTGCTCCGGTGCTCTCTAACCCACCTCACCTCGTTGCCCACAGGCAGTGGGGAAGAATTGGACTGCCAGCCTGCACGCTTTGGGCATACGTCCTCCCTACGCCTTTGGTTGCATACTGCGCTTCCTTCTCAAGTACGATCCCATGGTCACACATGTGACACACCACCATATCCGTAACTTGCTCCCTCCTCCCTACGCCTTTGGCTGCATACTGCGCTTCCTTCTCAAGTACGATCCTATCCTATATTCACTTCACACTGTGTTGTTATAGGAGCTCCCTCCCATGCGCTCTTTCTCACATGCGCCTTCCCACCCACGCCTTAGTCTTGCATCCTTGGCTCCTATCAAGCTTACCTACGCTTCCATGGTCTCTCTCCCTTCTACTCACACGCATTTCAATCGTAGCTTCATATCAGCTCACACGTGCGTCCTCCCTATGCCTTTTGCTGCATCCTTACCTTCATATCTGCTTACCTACGCTCTCATCATCACTCTCCCCTCTGCTCGCGTTGCCACCCCTCCACTCGCATAGCTGTAGTATATCCCCATGCTTCTCCCACTAGAACACAGCCATACGTCATATCAAATGTACAAGCCACATACCACCACCCCGTGATTTCATTGTGTTCAGTCCAATTGGCCCGACACATGCATGCCCCAACTCTGCCTCTTCCCACCCCTCTCCACCCCTATCCCTCCCTCGCCCTCCTTGCATCCACTCCACCAAACCACAGCCACGCGTCATATCAAATCTTCAAGCCATGTACCACCTCTGCTTTCGTTTGTTTTTAGTCAGTTGGCCAAAAGCACTCAGGCCCTCCCCACCCCTTCCTTCCCCACCCCTTCCTTCCCCACCATCCTTCCCACCAGGTCACAGCCAGTCGTCATGTCAGAATTTCAAGCCATCTACTATCCCCTGCTTTCGTTGTATTCAGTTACAGTCCAGTCAACCGAACACTTGCATGCCCCTCAACTCGGCCCCTTCCCACCCCTATCCCTCCTCGCTCTCCTCCCCCTTCCCCCCACCAGGTCAGGTCAGAATTCATCTGAAAAGTCCATGCCATGTGCCATCAACTGCTCTTCTTTGCGATTGGTTCCATCAACCAACGTTCCATATCTTCACCTACTAGGCTTAACTCACTCATGCCTTCCCCACCCCTCCCAACCCACCCCTTCCTCCCCCTTTGCCCCACCAGGCCGCAACCAGAAGTAATATCAAAACTGCAGGCCATGTACCATCAACTTCTCGCGCCTCTCAACTCCTCCTCCTCCTCCTCTCCCTACGCCCCCCTCCAACATCTCACCACCAGCCATTCACGCGCCTCCCATCTATCCTCCCATGGCTCTCATGGATTCTCACATGGGTCTGCACATGGGTGAAGGTGGTGGGGATACACATGAGAGCTCCGGACAAGTTCGGTCAATGAAAAACCCTCATGCCCTCCCCACTTTCCCACTCCCCTTCCTCTCCATCCCCCCCACCAGGCCGCAACCAGAAGTCATATCAAAACTGCAAGCCATGTATCATCAACCCCTCGCGCCTCTCAACTCCTCCTCCTCCTCATCTCCCTCCGCCCCCCTCCAACATCTCACCACCGGCCATCCACGCACCTCCCATCTATCCTCCCACGCCGCACATGGCTTCTCACATGGGCCTGCACATGGCTTCTCACATGGGCCTGCACATGAGATGGCGGCCCATAGGGTGAAGGTGGTGGGGATACACATGAGAGCACCGGACAAGTTCGTGTGGCAGGGGCAGCAGGGGTTTGGAGATCCCAAGGCTATGAGTGAGACGGATAAGGAAAAGCTTATGGCGTGGGCTGAAGACTACATTGCATGTGCCCAGGTGGGTGGGTGGGGAGGGGGGTTAAGGGTTTGGTGGGTGAGGTTTCGCTGATTGAATAGGTATGGTTGCTCCTTGTGTTGCGTGTGTGTGAAGGGTTTGGGGATCCCAAGGCTATGAGTGAGACGGATAAGGTAAAGCTCGTGGCATGGGCTGAAAACTACATTGCATGTGCCCAGGTGGGTGGGTGGGCGTGTGGAGGGGTCAGAGCCCTGTTTGAATAGGCATGGTTACGTCTGTGAGGAGAGGTTTGGGGATTCCTAGGCTATGAACGCGACGGATAAGGTAAAGCTTATGGCGTAGGCTGAAGACTACACTGCAATTGCCCAGGTGGGTGGGGGTGGGGGACTAGGGTTCTGTAGGGTGGGTTTTCGCTGCTTAAATTGGCATAAATGCATGTGTGCAAAGGCTTGTCGCATGTGTACTATGTGGCTCAGAGATCCCAAGGCTATGAGTGAGACGGATAAGGAAAAGCTCATGGCTTGGGCTGAAGACTACATTGCATATGCCCAGGTGGGTGGATGGGTGGATGGGCGTGTGGAGGGATCAAACCCCTGTGTGGTTACCCTGTTTGAATAGGCATGTTTACGTGTGTAAGGGGTTTGGAGATCCCAAGGCTATGAGTGAGACGGATAAGGAAAAGCTCATGACGTGGGCTGAAGACTACGTTGCATGTGCCCAGGTGGGTCAGGGGAAGGGTTAGACTTTTTGTGGTTACCCTGTTTAGCAAGCCTATGGCGTGGGGTGAAGAATACACTGCATGTGACTAGAAGGGTGAACTTTGAGACGTCTCGAAACTCAATCTCGATATCCCAAGGTCACGAATGAGACAGAGAGAGGCACACTTATGGCGTGGGCTGAGGATCACATGGCATGTGCCAAGGTGCGTGGGCTTTAAGACATCTCAAAAGCTCATGGCGCGGGATAAGGGCGACAATGAGGGCGACTTTACATGTGCCGATGTGTGCGCCGCAACTAGAGTTTGGTGTCTGATTGTTGGATAGTCATGTTTGCATGCATGCATGTGCCAAGATGGTTGAAGTTACAAGTCTGAATGATTGGGACATCTCAAAACAAAACGTGGAGGTGGGTGTCGGAAAGTGTTCAAAGTGACCTGCCGCTTTCTAGCAGCAACTTGCTGTTTTTCCACTCTATTCTTCTTTCCCTTGCCTCTTTCTACCATTCCCTTACAATGTTACTTGAAGTTTTCTGATTTTTCTGATTTTTCCGAACCCCTATATTCCGCCCTATAGAAGCTGGAGGCGTGGTAGATGCCTGCACCCACCATTGTTCGCTGGAGGCCTTGTGGGTGCGCGCTTGAGTCGACTCTAAATACACCTTCCTTGTGGCCCCCATTGCCCCCTGCATCGTGCTCATGCCCCCCCCCCCCCTGCATCGTGTTCCTGCAGAAGCTGGAGGCGTGGTGGATGCCGGCTCCCACTATGGTTCGGTGGCTTGTCATCAGCAACTCGCACGTGCTTAAGACAGCCCTTCGACTCAAGTACCCTGACAAGGTGTGTGCTTTTCTATCTCTTTCGAGTCAGGTCCAGGTGAGACAAGGTTTCATGTGACTTATGAGTCTGACCTCTGCTTCAACTTGCATGAGCTCAAGACAGCCCTTCGACTCAAGTACCCTGACAAGGTGTGTGCTCCTCTCCCTCTTTCGAGTCAAGCAGAAGGTTTCAGGTGACTTTTGGGTCACCTCTGGTTCAACTCGCATGAGCTCAAGACAGCCCTTTGACTCAAGTACCCTGACAAGGTGTGTGCTTTTCTATCTCCATTTCAGTCAACTCAAGAGTCAAATCTTGCTCTTTCAGGATGCCGGATCAATCACCCTCACAATGTCAGATTCTCAGAGCGACTTAAGAGTTGACTCTAACGTTTTTTACGTCAGCAGTGCACCCCTAAGCGAAAAAACATCTCTGTCCCATGCAGACTGGTGCCTGCCTATTGTCATCATCCTGCTTGGTTGTGTGACAAGTTGTGGGATCATGCGAAATCCCACAACCTGGGACGCTTCTAAACACCACAAAGTACCCATTTCCGAATTCCTCCTTATGATAATCCCCGTTAATGGCAGGTGGTGATTTCAGATATCGTCCCTCTACATGCCAACATTCTGACACCCACTTCTGATACCAATTCCTCCTCGGCATCCTCGTCAACACAAGCTACCAAGGCGAAGGGAGCATCAACCTACATTGATATTGTCGTGGACTGGCTGCTTTTAGCATCAACTGATGTTCTTCTGTTATCTCACTCGGGGTTTTCCCATTCCGCAGCATTCTTCTCGCAACGCCTAACGTCTGCCTATGTCCCGAAACATTGCAACCCGGAAATTCCTGTGGATACGCGCGCCATAGGGCGAATCTGGAGTGGAATATGAATTCCTAGTGCTCAACTCTGGTTCTCAACCGGCTCAACAAGACTAACATTCAGACATTAAAAGTGTATCCAGTCAGTTCTTGCATAATCAATGCCCATTTGCTCAGTTGAATATGTACGTTTTATTATTTAATTTTTGGCATTTTGTGGTGCACTGTAAGGAATTTTCTCGGCATTCCTTACCGCGCCCTGCAACATCGCGTACAGCAGCAGCCGTTGTTCGCCCGTTATTGCTAACGGGGCTTCGCCGACTTCGCACGGACTATTTCACCAAACCTCGCACCGCTGGCCCAGCCATCTCGGCCTACGCTTCGGGACTAGCTCGAACCTAGCTGCCAGCGTAGCGCTAGCTAGCTCGCACGCACCGCGTTACCGTTTGCATGTTTCGCGTATAAATGTTCGCTCATGTCTTCGCTCACATTTTGTACTCGTTTGACACCTTAGTGCAATTCTCGCTACCTCGATTCATTGCACCCGTAACACTCGGTATTCAGAGCCTCTTTCTTTTCGGACCGCGCATCTCCACAGCCCAGGAAATCAACTTTTGATTTTTCACCCGAAGGGACTAACGCACCTTAGCCCCTAGGGGCCGTTGTCCTCTCGTTCTCCCGTAAACGCGTGCAGCCACGACTACGCCTAGACTAAGCCGAGTCGACGCCCTTCGTAATGGCCAAGCACTTCGACGTCGCCACTCTCACGCAGGAGCGCTTGAACAAACTGCTGCAGCAACTTCGCGAAAGCCCTGAAGAAATCGCGGCGCTGACGGCAGAACGTACATCCCTGCAAAATGACGTCGCACGAGCACAGCAAGCACAATCTCAAGCACCTGGCACTCCGGTACAGCCCGCACCACAAACATCGCAACATGGAAGCGGGGGGCAACCCGCGAGCGCGGCCAGTGATGGCGTCGTCCATCACGACGGAGACGACGACCACGGCACGACACACCCCAACGCGACAAATGCGGCCAGGAGTCAGCCTCGAGTCACGATTTCTGTGCCGGCCGGCGAATCAACACTGCCGTCGCCGATGCCGTTGAAGCCGCAGCGTCCGCCATGCTTTGACCCGAGTCAATGGGGTGGTCCTACCGTTCAGACGTAGTTGTTCACGTTGAATGTCTTCTTCGACGCCAACTACATCTCGGAGGATACGACGAAATTTCGCAACGCTGTGTCGCTGCTGCGAGGACCCGCCATGGGCTGGTGGCGTGTCATCGTCACGAAGCCGGTGGACTACGCGACTCTACCGACACGGGATGGACAAACCGGACCTTGGGCGCCGTCGTATTTTGTGTAGGTGCCCCAATATCGCATGTGGGACGCGTGGTGTGCAGGTCTGCGCGCTCGGTTAGCCAATTGCGGCTTCGATCGCGGCTCGATTTCTTCCGCCGACCGAGACCGGGGTCCTACGCAAGCAGCAACTGGGGACATCGGTCTCGTGGGACGAACGAGGGCTCTACGATACGTGCCGTCGCCGCGAATGCCGCTACCGCACCGTTCAAAGGGCGCTGCTTCGCGTGCAATCGGCCGGGACACCGTAGGAGCGAATGCCTGGAAAACGCTAAGGGAAAGGGGGAAGCTGAGCAGCAAAAACAGACCAAGCAGCAGGTTCACGCCGCTCGCCCGACCCAACCGACCCTCACCGAGTGATTGTGCCGGTTCACGCAATCGACCACACCCGGCCGAATAAGGAGGGTACTACGATAGACAGCCCCATACTGCTTAGTGGGAAAATCGGGACAGACTTAGTTAAAATCTTTGTATACGGGGGAGCCAGCCACAACCTCATCAACACTGCCATAGCACGCAAACTGAAACTACCACTCGACACATGCTTACCTGAGATCGATGCAAGACTGGTCGACGGCACGCCACTGTACGAGAACGCGTAGACTGGGTTCGGATTCGATGCAGGGGTAACTTCACGTTTAGCCATGAAATGCTCGCGACAACCCTCGACGGAGTCGACATTTTGCTAGGTCATGATTGGCTGCGACAAAACAATCCGCGAATCGACTGGACGACGGGTGACTTCACTATGCGATTGAACGATAACAACATGTCACAATGATCTAGGCTGTAGTGGGGCACTCCTTATGGGGTACTGTCAGAACATTATAGCTTATACATTTGTGTTAGTACTTGTACCCAACTCTTTCATAGTTCAATCATTCTCGTTTCTCATCATGGTATCGAGCAGGTTCCCGAGGGGGAATGCTGCCTAGGGCCCACCACGACTTTTTTTTTCCTGCACGGAACGCGCTTCACTCCTACCCGATTCGCATTTCGTGTGCCCTACCTACCCTCAAGCCGCCCTTAGTGGCCCCTTTGGCCGCCCTTACAGCCCCTCGCGCCGCCCTCTAAGGCCCCTCGCGCCGCCCTTACAGCCCCTTACGGCCCCGCCTAGGCCCCTTACGGCCCCTCCGCAGCCCCGCCTAGGCCCCTTACGGCCCATCCGCGGCCCCGTCTAGGCCCCTTGCGGCCCCGTCTAGACCCCTCCGCTGCCCCGTCTGGCCCCGTATGGCCCCTTACGTCCCCGCCTAGGCCCCTTACGGCCCCTCCGCGGCCCCGTCTAGGCCCCTTGCGGCCCCGTCTGGCCCCTTAACGGCCCCGTTCAGGCCCCTCCGCGACCCCGTTCAGGCCCCTCCGCGGCCCCGTCTCGGCCCCTCCGCGGCCCCGTCTCGGCCCCTCCGCGGCCCCGTCTGACCCCTTGCGGCCCCGTCTAGGCCCCCCTTTCGGCCCCGTCTAGGCCCCTTTCGGCCCGGGCTAGGCCCCTTTCGGCCCCGCTTAGGCCCCTTTCGACCCCGTCTCGGCCCCTCTGCGGCCCCGCCGCCACCTGCGACCCGGCCGCCACGTGCGGCCCCACCGCCACATGTGGCCCCGTCGTCTCCACCTGCGGCCCCACCGCCACCCGCGGCCCCGTCGCCCTACCCTAGCGCCCCCGTCACCCTAACCTAGCGGCCCCATCACCGCCACCAGCGACCGAGCCGCCGAGCAGCACAGCAGCCGAGCCGCCCAGCAGCCGAGCCGCCCTGTCGCCGAGCCGCCCTGCCGCCGAGCCGCCCTGCCGCCGAGCCGCCCTGCCACCGAGCCGCCGAGCCGCCCTACTGTCTAGCAGCTGCTGTTCCTACCGGTGCTCCCCAGCCCCTCCTTCCTCGGACTCGTGAGCTCACTTCCTACTAGGCCACTACAGTCATGGCTACCCCCATTGTCCTCACATTTGATGCTGAGGGCCGTGCCGTTGACATTAAGGTCTGGGTCGATGACCTCCAGCTGTTTCTTCAGTGCGATAGGGCAGACGGCCTCTCCCTGTTTGACCTCACTTCTGGTGCCTCTCCTGCCCCTGCTGCTGATGCTGACGCCACTGTTCGCTCACAGTGGGCCACGCGCGATGCTGCTGCTCGCCTTGGTGTGCGCCGCCACTTACCGACCACTGAGCGTGCACACTTTAGCCAGTACAAGAGTGCTCAGACGTTGTACGACGCTGTAGTTGCCCGCTACTCTTCCCCTGCCACTGCTGCACTGAGCCGCCTCATGCTACCGTACCTCTTCCCTAACCTTGCTGCCTCTCCCACAGTCGCTGACCTCATTACGCACCTCCGCACTAGTGACACTCGCTACCGCGCTGCGCAACCTGCTGAGTTCTGCGCCAAGAACCCCCCCCCCCCATGTACATCACCCTCTACTACATAGTCACCCGCCTCCCTGACTCCCTTCGCGTAGTCAGGGACCACTTCCTCTCTCTTTGCCCCACCACTCTCACCGTTGACCTCCTCGAGAAGGCCCTCCTAGCGATAGAGAAGAGCATAGTCACTGTAGGAGCCTCTCGTGGTGACCCTCGCACCCCTGTCTTTGACGGGTGTTCTCCCTCCCCCCTCTTGCCCTTTGTTGCCTCCGCTGCTGCGGCCGACCTCGTTGGTTTCGAGTCGGTCGGCGCTGCGTCTGCCCCGAGCGGGAGACACCGCACCGGCAAGGGCAAGGGAAGCAAGGGCACTAAAGGGGCTGGAGGGGGCGGTGGAGGTGGTGGTGGAGGCAGTGGAGGGAGTGGGGGTGGTGGTGGGAGTGGTGCCGGGGGTAGCGGCGGCGGCGGCAGCAGTGGAGGAGGCGGAGGCGGTGGAGGTGGCGGAGGGACCGGAGGCGGCGGAGGTGGCGGAGGAGGCGGAGGTGGAGGAGGCGGCGGAGGCGGCGGCGGCGGTGGCGACGGCGGTGGTGGAGCAGGTCGCGACTCTGCGCAGAGGAGTGGCTCAGGTGGTGGTCCGCGCCAGCAGCAGCGGAGTGGTGTGACCGTGTTCCCTCAGCAGCTTCGTGAGTAGTACACTGCGCATCAGCGCGGTGGGGGTTTTGGTCCCTGCGCTTACGTCCTCCGTACCGGCGACCGCGCTGGTGAGCAGTGTGGAGGCTCGCACTCCACCCAGCGCTCCTTTGGTCGCCTGATGGACGCGTGGCGTCGCCAGTTCCCTGAGGCGTCAGAGATCCCTCGCTGGGGAGATCTGTCTAAGGCCGGGGTTCCTATCTTTGGTTTTGATTTTGATGCTATTCTTGCTGCCATATATGCTGTTGGTACTAGTTTTGCGGGTGACTGTTACCTGTGTGTACCGCCTGACCCGGGCATTGAGGCCGCTGCTCTAGGTGCTGGTGAGGCTGCTACTCTAGGTGCTAGTGCGTCTGCTGCCCCAGGTGCCAGTGCGTGTGCTGCCCCAGGTGCTAGTGAGTCTGCTCTCTCAGGTACTACGTCGGCTCAGGCCTTCCACACCTTCACCCTGGACTCGGGTGCGTCCCGCTCCTTCTTTCGAGACCGCACCACTCTTACGCCGCTCAGACGGCCGTTTGCAGTCTCCGTGGCAGACCCCTCTAGGGGTCTTGTCCTTGCTAGCTTCTCCACTGTCCTACCGTGCCCGGCAACCCCCTCTGGCACCCTGTCTGGTCTCTACCTCCCCTCATTCTCTACGAACTTGGTGAGTGGAGCTGACCTACAAGATCGGGGGGTTGACCAGTTCACTCC